TTTTCTTTTTCTTTTTTTTTTTTTGAGACAGGGTTTCTCTGTGTAGCGCTGGCTGTCCTGGAACTCACTCTGTAGACCAGGCTAGCCTCGAACTCTCGAACTCAGAAATCCTCCTGCCTCTGCCTCCCAATTGCTGGGATTAAAGGTGTGTGCCACCACCACCCGGCCCTTACAAAAACTTACAGTTCAACAATTGCTACAAAAACACTTTTAAAGCCACTAAGTATAAGGAAAGGAAATGCATGTGTCACATTGTCAGATGGCATGAGCCTTAGACTATTGACATCACCAATGGTCCTACAGCCTAACTACTACAGAGCTCTCAGACTTCAGTGGTCTGTCTACCAAAGGCAGTCACCAGTTTGGTGTTCAGGAGTAAGAAGGCAAAATAAAATTTCAAGTCCATATGTTTATTATTCTGCTTGTTCTTTGACTATCTGGGTTTATTGTCTTACCTGTTCCTTGACTATTTACATTTATTGTATAGCTAGTTCCTCAACCTAGAACTGATCTTAATACTTGCATGTAATTGTAATGATATAAAAACAAGAAAAGGAGGAGGAGGGATAGGATAGGGGGTTAAGGGGGGAGGTGGAATAGGGAAAGGGGATAACATTTGAAATATAAATAAATAAAATATCAAAAAACTCAGTTAAAGAGGAAGAAAGACTAAAAGAATAAAAAATTCAAGTCTATTAGAAAGTTCTCCCATCCAGGCTGCCCAGAAAAAGTATTTTTATAATTAATTAGATCCTCATGATAGACTAATCATATCAGGTAATGTTCTCTCTTCATTCCTACAGATCATATGAGCTAACTCTCAAGTCAGCAATGGTTTCTTGAAAAGGTAGCCGTTGTAGGAATATTCAATACCAATCTTCTGTAGAAACAATATTATTATGTGAGGAGAGGTATGCTTTGAGCATACAGGAAAAGGATACTGTAAATCTTAAAATAAAAATCTGCCCAAGTTATGGGTGATGATTATTTTATAGCAACCCAACTGTTTTAACCAAGTGACCACAAAGATTTAAATAAATTGGACAGGCTTTTTTGGTACACGCAAAATCTAATAACTTGTTGGTTTTCTTCAGAATGTTATGGTTTCTAACACATATTACATTCTTTGGAATCTTTCTAAGTATTTGAATATTAATTCAGATAGACGGGAACTACTTTCCAGACATGTTCTTTTGCTTTCAATTTTGCTTATCATGAAATTGAGTTGGTATTATTTTTATTTCATATCTTTAATTATTGTTTCAAGTGTGTGATGACAACTGTTGGTGGGTGTATCTTTGACATTTTGATCCACTGGAATCCTAAATGCTTTCTAATTAAAAGATATGGTGCCTCTGTACATAATTTTTAAAAGATATAACATGTTTCTGCCAGAATTGTATTCCCTCAAAGAAAATATATATCATAAATATACCATTTGTTTGAGCAGGTCATAGTAAAGAAACCAGCAGAAGACTTGCTACTCCAGTATTACAGGAAAGAATTTTATTAGGGATAACAGAGGAAACATGTTCAGAGGCAGGTGGAAGAGTTCTGAGTAGAGAGAAAAAAGAAACAGATTTTCCATGGCCAAGGCTGGGTAATAGAGAAGGAAGAATATCAGGAGAGAAAACTGGGGATAACTTGAGTAGGAGAAACTTTGCATTCATAAAGTTGGAGAAAGGGATTCCGTAGTTAGCATAGTACAAGAAATGGAGAAGTTTGGAAAGGTACAGAAATCTAGGTGGAGACTTTAAAATTTAACAAGTATTTTTACTTCCCAGAATCCATGATGATATCCTTACAGGAGCCACAGGCAAGAGGCAATGGAAATGACCCCTTATTCTGAACAAGACCAACTTCACAATAATTTTTTGAGAGCTGTAGTGTTTGTTTGATTGTTTCTTTGTTTTGCTGACTTGGCAGAGATCTAGTTTATTATGACAGTTTGGACAGCTCAACAGAACATCAGGATCACAAACACAGAAGTCTTTGGCTTGAGTTGTTTAGATTAATACAATTACACCTTCAGAAGACAATATACATCAGCTGTTCATTTTTAAGTTTTCACCATTCAAACAGTTTCGACAAAGGACAACCACTTTAAAAAGACATTTCTGAAGGAAACAGACATATAGGCCAATATAGGAAAGGACACATGTATAAAAAGCAGTCTAAAATTTTAAACTGTGGTTGATATTTTAAGTTCTTACTATCCTTTCTGTTAACATATCATTTATGTTACAATTACATTTTAGTATCACATTTTTATTCATTTTTGAACTTCATACATATATACCATATGTTAACTGTTATCAATATAAATGTTGCTATAATATTCCTCAGATATTCTCTTTCAACTTTATTTACTGCATTTTAATATCACGAACTCTTTAAAATTTAGTATGAACATTGGTCTTACAACTTATCCACTAAATCTTGTTTTGTTAGGTGGAGACCCGTACCAGGAGAATCTTATTTTTTTTATACGGAAACAACTTGTCAACATGGGAGAAATTCATAGAACCTTGCTGTGCCAAGGCCCGGTGGAAATCATGAGCTACAACAAAAGGAAGAAAAGATATCTATCCTTATTTAATGATGTTTTGGTTGTGTCTAGTAACCTGTGAGTATATGCAACATGTATTCCTTACTATGAGAAACTATACTTTAATTAGGCCTTTTTGTACAAAAATAACCTATGTCCTTTTACTTCTTTTTTAAAAAAGATTATAATCACTTCATTTCTTCATGATTGCAACTTCTCTTTCCTCTACCATGGTTTAGGTTTGGTGGACACTCCCCTACATGTTTGTCAATTTGTTTTAACAAAAGTTTTAGACACAATTTTTAAAAAAGAATTATTTAAGGTGCTCTCCTGTTACCAATGTGGTAAGTTTGGCTGTCAACCCTGATCAGTCACTGTAATCTCCCAGCATAGAAAATGGTAGTTAGTTTCTGACTGATGCAGGTCAAATGAAGTGAATGGCCTGGCAGCCTTTCAATCTGTCCATCCTTCTTGTCATTTCTACTCAACTCACCTTCAGTCTACAGATGGAAATACATTTTGTAAAAAAGATAGTAATCGACTCATTTGAATTAAAAACTTATATATACTGATAGTGTACCTTTTGAAAATCACTTTGATTTTTGAGAGTAAAGGAAACTTAGAATGACAGGTTTTCTTGAAAGGCCATCTATTTTTTCCACTTCTGTTGCATAGTGATAATAGGGAAAACTATTTCGAGAGTGTCATTCATATTATGGAAAGAGCATTATTAGCCTCATGGGAGGTGATTTTCATTATTAAAATTTTCAAAGAAGTTTATCTCTTATTAGAATATTGAAATTAGAGGTTTTAGGTTTAGGCATTTCTTCTGAATTATGGTTTATATATATGTATATGTGTGTATCATATGTATATGTGCTATTAGATGTCTTGTGGTAGAAAGAAAATGTAAGTACAAATGTCTCATATGATTGATATATATGTTTGTATGTTTGTGTGTGAGCGTATGTATGTTTATCCTTTAGTAAATATTACATAATAGGCTTTAATTTTGACCATTACATTTTATATTCCATAGTGTGGGAAATCATTCACTGTAGTATGATATTTCAAAAAAATCACACATTTGAAGTTTAGAAGGGCTTATATATAAAATTTGTGAATCAGGGTTTATTTTTGTGTCATGTTGTCTCCTGAATCTGAGAGAAACAGAGTCAGTATCTTCAGTTTTGGATCAACATATTAGCTTACGTGTTCCACACAGAGTTACTTACCCAATTTAACACACACAAACAGAGAGAGAGAGAGAGAGAGAGAGAGAGAGAGAGAGAGAGAGAGAGAGAGAGAGAGAGGAATCTGGGAATGATTCTGTCAAAAGATAGAAGAGAAAGAAGAGAATTAATAAAAACACTTTGTTTATGTATGTGAATTTCTCAAAGGACAAGCTCCATAGAAAAGAAATGATGATGTTAGGAAAGTTATGCTTACAAGTTTATTATTTCTTGTAAACACTTTTGATAAGATCAGAATGCTTGATAGGAAGACATATTTCTAATTATTACTTTAAAATACTGGGATAAACACTCATCTTTGTGCAGGCTTGTATGGGATGTGCTTTGTACATTTGCTAAAGAAACCATTGTAGTGAGCACATGTGACTTCTTAGTATACAGAGAAGGACATTGAAAAATGAATTTTGTTCAGTCACACAATATTTCTATATTATTTATTTTACAAAGATTATTAAATGGAAGTAATTAAAATACAAAATTTTATCTAATATTTTTGGTTATGAAATTAAGGAAATAAAACAAACAGGTTATTAATTAATAAAACTAATAGAAGAAATTTTAAAACACATGGCTTTCTAAAATTGCCATATATACATATATAGATAGAGAAACACACATATATACATATACATACACACACACACATACACACACATACATATACATGACTAATCTAGGAAAATTATATGTATATATTCATTCACATTCTCCAGTCTGAAAACAATTAGGCTATGTCAATTTGTGTGCATTGAGAAGCTTGTATCCAGTAACTTCTTTCAACACATGATTTGTTGAATTCCATCTACCATGGTTGTGTGTACCTGAGTGATAAAATGGAGGAGTCCTGTTCTGTTCTGGGGCAGGAAGAATTGGGTATTTCTGCAAGCATAATGCAAATCAAACTAACAAAGATAATTGATTATCTTTCTAGGAAAAAGAAGAAGTTTAAGATAAAATGTATTTTGCCACTGAACAACCTCTGGGCTATTGATGATGTGATCTTTTTCAGAAGAAAGGAAAACTGTAGTTCCAAGACCCTTTTCTTCCTCCCATGGCACTCTGGAAATTTTTTTGCCACCTTTCGGTAAGACCTACAGTTTGGACCTGTATTCACAATAGGATAGCTATGTAAATTGAAAGCCAATTAATGCTTCATAATTCACAGTTTAAATCAATTAACCAGAATGTTTGCAAAGTAAGAATTCATTTTATTCTGATTGTATACAGGTTACCAACACAAATTTTTCCCTTATATGATGATTCTAGTGTGTTCCCCAATTGGGAAACATCACCTTCAGTGTTCACATGCAGAGATTCCTGACCACAGCATCAGAACCAACCCCTAAATATCACCAAGTACCAATAACTTTTCCTGTGATAATACCACTTTTTATTTTACTGACATAAAAGAAGGTGTGTGTGTGTGTGTGTGTGTGTGTGTGCCCATGTTGAGGGATAGAAGCATAATACACCTGATAAAAATGGTTGCACCCAGAGAATAGAGTGGGTGAACAGTTAATGGCGGAACCGAGAATGTGCCAGTCTTTGAGCAAGAATGAGTCCATACTTCCATAGGAAATCAGGTTGAGTTATAGATGTTAGAACCATGGCATAAGGGAGAAGAAAATTCTGTAAATGAAAGATTTTTCAGCATGGATAATTATTTTCAGAAAGAGGAAGCAATGTACACATAATTTACAGATGGAAAAACTATACCTGACATAGGGTTGTGAGCATGGGGAGGTGTAATAGTGCATTGGAAAAGGGTTGCTGTTTGGATAAGAAAAACACTGAACAACAAGATGTTGATGACTTTAAGACACTGTGAATGTGTCAAATATTAATGAATTCTAAATGATTCAACATAGAATTTGCAGTTATAAAATGTTAGCACTGTGAGTTCATGTTTAACCATCTTAATTTAGAGTATTTCATGCTAAAGTGGAATAGTGGTGAGCTTATTAATTTGTACCAGGAGGGTTAATGTGATGACACACAGATAAAGCACTAGTTTCTAGGATCTCCTGTCTTGTGTGAATAATGGTACATTTCTGTGTGAACATGACTTCACAATCACAGGACACTGGGTTTTTTTTCTTTATTTTTTGGGTAGTATACACCTTTATTTTTTTTGAAGTTAATATTTTCTTCGATTGTTTTTTTACATTTCAGATGCTATTCCCTTTTCCCATACCCTCTCCATCCAGAAAACCCATTCCCCCTCCTCCTGCTTCTATGAGGATATTCCCAAACCCACCCACCCTCCCCCACCTCCCTGCCCTCAAAATCTCCCACACTCGACATCCAGCCATAACAGAACCAAGGACCTCCTCTCCAACTAATGCCCGACAACTATCCTTTTATATATATGAAAACTGAAGCTAGGAGTAATTGCTGGCCCAGCCATAGTCACACAGCTCTTGGAACATGGTCAAGTCTTGACATTCCCAACTAGTTTCACACTGTATTCAACTTCCTGTCATACAAGTGTTCCATGAAACACTTCCAGAAAGACCATCATGTGGAGAATACCATCTACTCCTGCACCCTCCTGGTGGCCTTTGTTTTATAATAATTTTTATGTGCAATAAGCTTAAAAGTTGTATCATTCTCAAGTCTCTAATCCTGTTTTTCACTTTTAACTTTACAGTTCGAAAGAACAGAAAGATCAATGGTATTATTTTCTCAGAAGGTATTTTACTTGTGATTATTCTTTAATTCTGTAACTGATATGGGAATTGCAGTTTGTGTTTTATTTCTTTCTTAAAATTATATTTGGTAGACTGTCTCCAAATATGTTGTTGGTTAGATGATCACTGGATACTGCTTTGGTTTTTCCTGTCTATCGCATATTTTACTTAATTTTGAGGAAGTTCTGTATTCATTGTTTCCTCTTTATATTGGAGTAAATAGTACTCTTCAGTCTTACTTTAAATTCCACTCTGTAGATGTTACTCTACCATGTCCATCCAAACCATCTGCTACTCTCTCCTTTGAGGTCAAGCAGATTTTTGCCTTTTCCTTGTGTACTAGTCACTAAACTTTCTCTAGTGCCATGGAACTTATGGACTGTCTCTATGTATTAAGGGA